TCTTCCTCTTCAGTTAAAATAGAAGCAGTTCAGTCTGCATTTTAGTTAGCAGAAAAGTTTAAGATGGCCTGATCCAACAAAGTATAATCTTTTCATCAGATATAGCTTACACAGCACAAAAATGTTTGCCAAATGCATTGTGGTGCACATACAAAATGCTATTTTTATTGGAGCATTTTAGTGCATAATATTTCAGTATATTAAGATCCTATTTAGTTGAGCACTAATATATTGTAGGAAAGGGGAGGATTCTTTGTTATTTTACTCTTACCATCTCATAGTCAGGAATTCCTCATAATTTGTTAATTCTCTTTTCTGTGGGGTTTGGGCGGCGGCGGGGGGGGGGGGGAATTGCACATCATTAAGAACTTGCCTGAATTTCTGCCAAAATGGACCACCTCTTCTCTTTCTCTATGCCAACAACTTTCATGCCTCTTTCTGCCTTAGCTTGAAAATAGCATCCTGCTTCTGTAGAGTATCTATTGTTTTGGCAGACACTCTAGCAGTGTAAATCTAACTGTAACCTCTTTTAAATAAAGACTGAAGACTGTTCTGTTAAAAGCTGACTGTGCCAGGCTTACTCGGTTTTTAAAAAATTAAATAGCAGGTGCTTTATTTTTTCCCCTTGCACACTTTGATGAAATCATTCTTTCTGAATGACAGCCCTTTTAAGGATAAGGATGGAGTTTTTCATGTTTGGCATAGAATTCAGGTTGTTTTTGAATTTGATACTTGGCTTATATAGCAAGTTTCATAATGTCTGAGCCTCTTGCATTCTGTAATTAAAAATGCTACCTACCTCACAGAAGAGTTGAGGCATAATAAATTTAATATTCTCCGAAGCCCTTTTAGGAAAGGCTGTGTATATTGTAAAATATTGTTATATATAACCTGTGTATATCTAGCATATCCCTATGTTATATGTATAGCTCTGTATATAACACAATTGTTTTACAACAGTCACAGCAGAATACATTACAAAAATTCATAAGGCCTATACAGTAGTACACAAACAATACTTTGTTGTTACTCTAATGCCAAGGGGAAAGCTAGAATGATTAATGTTGTAGTCATTGACTCAAAATGTGTATGTAGCTATATAAATAGCTTTTCTCTGTATATTTGAACATTATCAAGCTTTTAATAAGAAATGCTTATTAAAATTGTACACCGCATTACTGTGTGGCTTAAATTAGTTTCTTTTAAATATATGGCAAGAAAAATCATAGGAAAGTTTTCCAATAGTGTCTTGAATTTTACTTAACTTTTGATAATCATATTCTTTTAAAAGCTGGATTTTGGTTACTTTTTTCCCTCAGAAGCTACTGAGCGAAATGGTCTTGAAATCATGACAATTGAGTTGCTGTGGTAACCCTTTAAAGTCCTTTGGGACTTTCTTGATCCATGGAACCTGAGTTTTGTAACAATATATATTCTGGTAACTGCGTAGTCACCAACTATGAAATCAACCCAAATAAGTACAAGAAATGATATGTGTCTCAACAAATTATAGTACCTTCAGAATTTCTTCCTTTATATTGCCCACATTTTAGCTTTTTGGACTGTTAATTTGAGAAGACAGAACAAGGTTATTCTGTACATCTGTTAATTAGCACCACTGTCTATTGCTCAGGCCAGCTTTTTATTTTTGCAAGAAACAGATAAAATATGAAATGGTGAAACCTATGTAGATTTATGAACAATTAAAAACCCTTATTTAATCTGGTTGTTAGCACTATGTATACGTTTAACATGGCATATCTGTCATTACTATCTGTCAGAGATAGCATGAGTGCTGCCACTTGTTCCAGTTAACATTTCAGAAGTTGGAGGCAGCTGAAGATCAATCATCAAGCTAGTTTGTGGGTAATCCTTTGGACACTATCCTAAGTTTTGTTATGCTTTATAAATAAACCAATACTTGAATTGTTCAAGCCGCAGGTGAGGTACTAATAAAGCTTTTTATTACTGATGAAATTTAGGGTTTCCAATTCCTAGTTAGTTTAATGGTTATATCCTAACTGAACTGTACCTATTAGTCTTAAAAAGCCCCATTTACTTCATGCCATCATTAGCCTATCTACTTTATTTGGTTCAAATAGTTTTTTTAGTCTGGTAAAAATAAATGCTTTATTCCCAGTTTTCCAAGAAATCTAAATAGAAAAAGACTGACCAGATAAGCAAAATAAGGTATTTAAGCCTCTGAAGGCACTTTATTGTAGCAATAGAGTCATATTTTTTGCAGTTATAGTTTTTTGCATGTCATGCTTCATTACAATAAGAAAAAGTTTTTGTCTGTGATGGTATTTGAAGACGTGCCTATGTCTGGGCGCTCATTCAGTGTGGTGTAGAGATTGAAGTTCTTTAGATGAAGATTGGAGATATCTAGGCTTAAATCCCTTATGGAAATTTACTGAATAACTGGGAGAATCACTCTTGCTCAGCCTAACCACCTTTACAGGATGGTTTCAATTGGGATAAAATGGAGATAATCATGCAAACTGCCTTGAATTTCTGAAAAGGCAAGATTAACAATAAAAATGAATTGTCAAAAATCATGCAGAACGTCTACTTGGAGGTAGAGGGGATGGATTTGGGAGGTGCAAGTTGTACATTGAAGCCTTAACATTTTAACTTTTTTTGTACCTGTTGGTAGCTGAGAAATATTTTAATATTGTTAATACATTTTCACTGCATATCCTAAAATGTTGCTATCTTCAATTAAAAATTTCTTACAATACTTAATTTCTAACAAAATTATTTAATCTGTTTAAATATTTTTCAAAACCAGTGAAACTCAATAATTTGCATTTAAAGTGGTTGAGCTTTTATACCTTTGTAAAAAAAAAGCTAAGAAAAACCATTAGGGTCAGTATTGTATCCTTGGAGATGTTCTTCATACAACCTCTGACACAAATGTTGAATTAAGTTTCTTTCAAATCAAATTGACTTCTGGTTAAGTTTATGGACACATCTAACAAAATTACTGTTTTTCCTTACAATTCAGAAGTGGTTTGCTATTACCTTTTCATATTTTTTAAAAAATATATCTCAATCTAACCAACAGTAGGTCTCCAATTCACCAGGTCTTTCAGGCAAATTATCACTTGCTGAGTGCTGGTGAACTAACTCTTATTTAGCACTGTAAAAGCTTTTGAAAACATATATTTAATATGTTTATTTATACAGTATTTTGCAATTTGACAGTTCGAATCTCACCAGGCTCAAGGTTGACTCAGACTTCCATCCTTCAGAGGTGGTAAAATGAGGACCCAAATTGTTGGGAGAAATATGCTGACTGTAAAATCGTTTAGAGAGGGCTGTAAAGTTGTATATAAGTGCTATGCTATTGCTATTATATGTGGACATTCTCTTACAATTTAATTCAATCTGCAATTACTCAATACTATTTTTTAATCTAGCCTCAACCTATTTTGAAGACTGACTTCTGACATGCATATACAGTTTCACATGCATATATTTTGAGGGGAGGAAGATAAATCTCCACAATATTATGGAAGGTACAGTGCACAGGATTTTAAAAAACTTAATTTAAAATGTTACCTTTTAAGGTAAATTGGGATATACCTAGATTTGCATTAGAAGAATCCCAACTCTAAAAAAACATTTCAGCCCTGCACCATGTGATGACTGAGCACCATAAAATGTATTCAACACCAATACACGTCTTAAAAAAATTAAAAGAATACCATTTCCATAGAGAAAAGTGGGGAGACCAATACTGAGGCAGACTTACATAAAGGAGATTGCAAGTCAATTCCAGAAGTAATCATTGGGGCGTGTATCAAAGTGTGCAGAATGATCCTCAAGAATGGGCACCAGTAGAGAAAAATATGGCTGAAATTGATTGATGCTTCTGGCGGTTTTTTCACAGACCGGATTTTTTTTGGGGGGGGGGGCATAGTTTCATGCTGCCTGGATCCTGCATATGCATGGATAGGGCTTCGCTCCCTTGCGCAGCTGGATTCCTGGCAGGCCGTGGACCAGGGGTTGGGGACCCGTCGTATCTATTAATTAGTCAACAAATGTATTCAGGAAACTCTGAAGCAAATATGACCTGCTTTTTCTATTACTACTCTCTAGTAGCTGTATTTAAAGGCCTTTTGAGATCAGGCAGTTAAACAGTCATCAAGATTAATAGCAGCTGATAGCCTAGTTGTCCCTTAACTTTTCCAGGAACCTTTAACACCATCTGCAATGGCTAAGTATCACTCTCAGGAATAAATTCCAGAGACGCTTCTAGGAAGCCAGACTTGGCAAACACAGCAGATATTGAGCAGAATAAATACACATAGGATTGCACTAAAACCTGTGAGAAGTAACATCTAAACAACCTTTTTTTTGGTGCCTTCAGCTCAATGTTGGCTCCTGATGATTTCCTGGGCTAGTCCCTGCAGGGTTTTGGGGGGCAAAATTTCAGAAGTGGCTTGTCATTGCCTGCTTCCTAGGACTGACCCAAGGCTATCCCGCTTTAGACTTAATGTGGAATAAGAACTACAGTCTCTGGGTTTCTACCCTGGTGCATTTCCCATATCAAATGGCTCATCTCAACCCTCATCATACCAACTGCCATACCTAATAGAAAGGTCTACGCATCTTGGTAAATTTCCTTTGAAAATTCGTTCCTTCCAAGGACCTTCAATTGAAATAGATTCAGGTGCATATTCTTTGCTTATGTCAGACCAAGATATCACAGCATGAAACCTGCCTAAGACATACATTCATCCTTTGTTTAGATTTAAGCCTTTTTATTTCTCACTGCTTTGGTAAGGAACCTTCCCTCTTTCTAAGCTACCCTTACATTTTAAAGAAATAACATGCTTTTCCAAAACTGATTTTATTTGTTGCAATTATTTTTAATAGCTGTTTTAAGGGAATATTTAAATCTTATATCATGTTCATTTATTTTATGATCTGATTTCATATGAGCTACTTCTAAGATCAGTCTAAGAAACCAATGCCATATAGAGATAATTGTAACCGTTAAAAGTACCATAATCTTTCAAGTCTGAATGTGCTTCTCTCATCCCTCAGTTTATCTTCATGTGAATTAAGAGTTCCATTTGAGACATTTGCTCAAATACATTTATATTTTTTATTTACTGGAATGGGATTATGCCACATTTGTCTCATTTTTGCCTCAGCAGTGGCCCTTCCTCCTGTCCTTCAAGGTCCCTCTGTATGCCCTTCACTTTTATCTACTTTCTGTAAAAAGTAAGACATTATTTGATAAATAATGGGGGGAAGGAAATTAATGCAGTGGCAAACCATACTTTTCATGCACAGAATTATAGTTGTGCTGCATTAGTCCCAGCTATACATGTTGAACTCGAGAAGAAACAGAACACAACAGATAAGTCGTCACTGCAACAGTATACTGTCAAATATTTCAAGATACACAAGAGTGCGTAGCAAAAGTAATCTGGCTTAAATAAATGATTTTAATTTTTAGTGAAACTTTTTAAATGTTTGCAATACCAATTCACACCTTGTATAATGAGTTTATGATTCATGACCCAAGAATTCAGAGCATTCCAGAACCAATGGGAAATTTCCTAACAGACATCATCTGCCTTTTCCAGTAGTGGAAAACTGAACAAAACCACTATAAAGCCTATGATAAGTAAGCCCAATGTTTCCTAGCAAATAGTATTCGGAGGCACATTTGCATCTTAACAGTATATAGTTGAAGCTATACATCCCAGAGTCTCTCTGGCAAGAAAAACACAATACTATAGAACCATTTTGTATCAGTTTTCAAAATCCTAAACCAGCTGAGCCTCATGGACAAGCCAAGACTTTCTGCTGTTGTTTGACATGAAGGTTTAAGAGTTTCCCATGGGACTGATGACTCAGTGTATTTTTTTGTTACTGGTAGTGAAGCCCTCCTCCAGTGCAATGCTCCTGGACACCAACACGAGTGAGTATTGCTGTCTCTCTCTGGGTCCCTGCCCCACCTTTTTACATTTAAAAAGTTTCAAATCAAACAAATGCAACGGTGGCCAAGTGCAAGCAAAGATTCCAGCATCATTTTGATTTGCAAGAACGGGTCTGAGTCATCAGTGGGCCCAATACCTCTTCTTTTAAAAAAGGTAAAACTACTTTTGGAATGGTGTCTTGCAAGGCACAAGGAGGATCAAGCAGTATGCTGATAAAACATTATTTTGTACCTGCTTATGGGCCTCTGGCAGCCATTTTATGAATAGGCAGCCCCCCCCCCCCCACCTCCAGCCATTTTGCAAGGACACCCCCACTACTACATTAACAATCCCCAGCACTGCAGAGCCCCCTCGTGCTTTCTCCCGGCCGCAGGACATCAACCCGAGGCGCTGCGCGTCAAGACACGGGGAGGGGGGCGACCACGCGAGGACGAAAAAAGCCGATTTCCGCAGACCGAGGCGAGGAAGGTGACCGGCGAATAAGCCTCGTTCGACGCCACTTCGAAATCGGATCTTCGGCGCTGTTCCCGAGAGCCGCCCGCAGTCCCGCCCCGGGAGGAGGCGGAGAAACAGAGCAAGGTCAGGCGAGCCTCCCGCGGGCGTCCCTCTCCTTCGCTGGCTTCTAGGGCGTCATGAGCGACCATTGCGGCTGTTGTTCTGGGCCGGCGAGGCCGGAAAGCAGCGAGGTAAGCGGGCGGAGCGACGCCGTTGGGCCTAAGAGCCGGCGGCGGAGGCTTTTTGGAGCAGGGACTTCAACTCCCAGAATTCCTTAGCCAACTTTGCTGGCTGAGGAATTCTGGGAATTGAAGTCCACAAGTCTTAAAGTTGCCACTTTTGGGGACCCCTGTTTTGGAGGAACGCCTCTTTCGGCAGAGCGGCGTATCAGAGCGCATCGGGTCAGGCGGGCTAAACGCTGCGGTGGAGTTGGCCCGTTTTCTTGGGAGATCCATCTCTACGATTATTTTGGCACTTCTGAATGCCGCATGCGGGACCCTGCTTAACAGCACGCGCCAGAAACTGACCGGCGCTTCTGGGGTTTCCGCTCCGCCTCTTAAGAGATCCCCTGTGCACGTTCCATTAGGCTGCCTTCGGCTCGGTTTTAGAAAAGTTGTCATTTTATAGTTTTTATTTAAAGCACTATGGTGGTGGTTGATCTCGTTTTTTTACGGGCATCGTAATTTTATGGTCAGGTACAGGTAGTCCTCGACGTACAACAGTTCATTTAGTGACCATTCGAAGTTGCAATGGCATTGAAAAAAAGTAACATGACACTTCATCACTGGAGGCTTTCAAGAAGAGATTGGACAGCCATTGGTCAGAAATGGTCTCCTGCTTGGGCTGGAGGTTGGACTAGATCACCTACAAGGTCTCTTTCAATTCTGTTAAAATGTAAATTTCCAAGAACATGTGATTATATGCTTGGTAACTGGTTCATACTTATTGCAGCATCCCAGAGTTACATGATTGTAAAATGGGGCAAAATTCATTTAACAAATGTCTCACTTAGTGACAGAAAAATTGGGCTCAATTGTGGTAAGTCAAGGGCTACCTGTTTACTCCTTCATAGTTGCAGAGGTGGCATAAAAATTATGGAAATGTTAATCAATGCCAGGCAGCTGAGCTCTGCCCAAATTAGTTTTTGCCCATGTTTTTTTTAATATTCTGTCTTGATACCAATGTTGTTAGAGATTGATTATGCATTTGTCCCATATTTTATTTACAGTGGGCATCAGATATTTATTTAGATGCTGCCTGACTCCCTTAATGAAAGCAAAACAACACAATAGAAACAAGAGAATATCAAAGAATAAGAAAGAGGGCAAATCCATCCAACAACAAATATCACACACCCCGAAAGGGCTCCAACCTGCCTTCAAAGCTAGGCATCTAGATCTTAGATTCTGATTCTGTGGTGGCAATTTGTAAGTCTGCAAGTAAAGCACAATTCAATTAAGTACTGTATACAGTGCAAGCTGTCTAAGGTCAATATGCAGTAGTAGTTTTCCATGTCTTCAGGACATCATCCAGTCTTCACTGAAGTAACAAAAAGCTCCATGTTAATGTTATTTTGGCCCAACAATGGTTGGGTGAATGTAGAAGATCTTAGTAAGGAAATGATCTCAGAGTTTTCCCAGACATTTGAAGTTTATTTAGGCTTTAAATTGTTTACATGGGTCTAAAGGTTGATGGCTGAGCTGCTACCTACTGTGTATCTATAGTACTGGCTTCCAGCTTTTAGGTGGGACAGTAGACATTGAAAATGCCTGGGATTGACTTAGTTTCCCCAAATGCTTTAAGATCTGGGAGTTGTGATTACAAAGCTTGTCTTATTGCAACATAAAGTGAGTCCCCTCAAATGTACTACAAGAAAGCTCATGCTAAAAGTGTACATCAGAGTTGTGGTGTTGCTATTGTTATCTTTCTTGGCATTGCACACTTTCAGTGAACCGAAAGTTGTATTCTTTATTCAGTGTGTATGTTGTCCTCATCAAGATGGTCTTTCAGTGAATCAGTATCTGACTAACTCAGAACCTCCATGCCGGGATAGTTTCTGGATTGAGAAACAGAAGATTAATATAATTGATATTTAGATTAATAGGATCTGCCTTGCTTTTCTTAGATGAAAGTTAAGGAAAATCAGGGGTGTTGTTGAAAATAGCACATGTATGATTTCTTGCTCTTTCTTTAGGGGTTGCCCTCAGATGGACTTGAAAACGACTTAAAATCAAATGAGGAACCTCTCTTAAGGAAGAATCCCCATCGATTTGTCATCTTTCCAATCCAATACCCTGATATATGGAAAATGTACAAGCAGGCTCAGGCTTCTTTCTGGACAGTAGAAGAGGTGAGTTGGGCAGAAGGCAGGTTGCACAGGTGACAATCACTAACCCAAGAATAGGCTGCAATGTCAGCCTAGAGACTATGCGGGTAGTCCTCAACTTACAGCCACAATTGACCCTAAAATTTATGTTGCTAAATGAGAAATTTAGTGAGTTTTGTCCCATTTTACAACTTGGCTTGCCACATTTGTTAAATGAATCACTGCAGTTAGTAACACTGTTGTTAAGTGAATCTGGCTTTCCCATTGACTTTGGTTGTCAGAAGGTAATAATGGATGATCACATGACCTTGGGACATTTCAGCCATCATAAATATGAACCAGCTATCAAGCATCTGAATGTAAAACCACATGACCAGGGGATTTACTGCAATCATAAGTGTGAAAAATGGTCATAAGCAACTTTTTTCACTGTCGTCGTAAGTTCAAACAGCCACTAAACAAACTTGTGTTGTAAGTCAAGGACTGTCTGTATTTTCTTTCTCTGTCCTATCTTGGGACCATCAGAGTATGACCAATGACACCATGATTTCTGCAGAACTTAAAACGTTCATTCTGCCTCTTAAACTTTAGCCTTAGAAGTAAAAGCTTGAAGTGTTCTGGACTGATTTTTCTGGGTGTTGGAGACCGGATTTGGGAAGCTACGTATGGATTATTCACCCCATGCCTAATACTGGCAAGAGTGTTAGCAACACGAAAATGGCTGAATACCAGAGGGAAAGAGTTTTTTTGTGAAAAGAATATGATCAGCTTCTAGCAGAAATCACAGATTTCTACCCAGAGCATAGGTAATCCTTTTATTTCCATCTTGGCAGAAAAGTGACTTTGCACCTTGGTCCATATGATGAAACTCAAAACCCTACAGTAGATCCCTCAAGACCTAACAAGTGAAAAATCCCTGATATATTTAGACCATAAAGCAGCCAAGAGAGGGAAGCAAAGGTGCAGAAGAAATTCTGTTCACTAATCTGATATTCTACTTCACACACTTTCCTTACATTTAGGTTAAGATGCTTTTAAGAAAGAGTCAGTTCCTGTCATAAAAAGGCAGTCACCATTGCAAACAAACAAAACAAATGCACTGTCTGCTTGCATGAGCAATGAAGTGTTTGATGGATTTGTTTACTTGTTTTTGTTTTCTGTCATCGATAGAAGGGATTTCTGGAATAGATCATACAATAAGTGGCATTGCTTTTCTGTCTCCATTAGTGGCAAGTTATGTATAAACCTAGGCAGAGAAATTCTAGTAAACCAGTGTCTACCCATCAGGTAACGACCAGATGATTAGGACACAACTCCCAATTATCCACAGACCCATCCTGGCAGAGGACGGTGATGGTAATAATAATCCATTACATGCAATAATAATCCATTACATTACAAGATTCCACCAGGGAGAAGATGGTTAGAAGCCAGAAGAATCTTCAAAGGCAATGAAAAGAAAGTCAAGATGGCAGGAAGAGCTGTATAATAGAAGCCCCACCCTTTTTAATGTTATTATAAGACATGGAAAAAGAATGGGACTTTGGTAAGGTTGCAGCTACCAAATTTATCAAAAATGTCTCCCTTCCTGTGAATGCCCCTCTTTGAATTTACAGCATATATTCTCTTAGACATTTATTTTGCTTTTCAGAATTATCAGTAACAATGACTATTTCAAGTCTGTAATCTGTATTTCTTTCTTTCTTTCTTTCTTTTGTATAGGTTGACTTGTCAGAGGATGTTATTCATTGGAACAACCTAAAACCAGAAGAGAAATATTTTATTTCGCATATCCTAGCTTTTTTTGCTGCCAGTGATGGAATTGTCAACGAAAACTTGGTGAGTTGCTTCCTGTGACGTAGCCTCTAATATTTTGATGCTGAGTTTCTTTTTCATTGCATGCAATCAAACATCTATTCGTAATTGTACTTTGCATGTATTAGTTGTCCATCATAAGGAGCATTGTGGATATTTTCCTATAAGTACTTTACTTTTAATGAAGCTTGTACTAATCACACTGACTTTCAACTGCTTTTGTGGGGGGAATCGTATATATATATATATATATATATATCTTATATTTGCTTTACCCAGAGATGCTCTTTTGGGAGAAGACAGTCATTTATATAAGACATTGTGGTCTAGTGCAGGCTTTGAACCCAGTCTTACATGGACATTTAGATATCTGACTTCTTTCATTGACAGGTGGAACGTTTTAGCCAAGAAGTGCAAATCGCAGAAGCTCGCTGTTTCTATGGCTTCCAGATATCAATAGAAAATGTTCATTCTGAGATGTATAGTTTGTTAATAGACACTTACATCAAAGACCCCGAGAAAAGGTAATTAGTGTAAGTATTACCACTATGTAGAGGACTTAGGTATTTCTTCGTTTGTAATTTTCATGTCTAGTCTGGTCTAGGTGTAATGGGAGACCATAGTTTAACATTGCAAGGACATATCAGTAGAAATTTGTAATTTTTTTTAAGCTTATATGAGGGAGAGGAGGAGTTTTTGCTTGATCTTAAGAAAATCAGTCTGCTCTAAATTTTTAAATGTTATTTTTATCCTGTCTTTATTATGTTTATACATAACTAAAGGTGGCAAAGATATTTAATATTCCATCCTACACCTATTTTCCACATAACAACAATCCACTGAGGTTGGTTGGGCTGAGAGAGAGTGCTGCCTCAAAGTCATCCCGCCAGCTTTCATGCCTAAAGGAGGAGTAGAAACGTTTAATTTCTAGCCTGGTGCCTTAACCATTAGACTACTTCAAGCAATCAAAGTTAAATTAAGAATACTAAATTACAGTCTTGGGCTCTGGCTTATTTTCACTAATTATGATGGGCCCAACTGGTGTCATTAGAAGTGAAAGCATAGGCTTTTCGCTCCTGGAGAAATGGAGAAGAAATTGGAAAAACTTGTTTGCGTTTAACATTCAGAACTGTGTCACCCATGTGAGTCACTTCCAGGACGAAGTATATGAAGATCCTTTTTGTGATTAGATAGCAATTCCTTGAAAACATTTGATTTTTAATTTTTGTTCAAACTGCAGAAGAGATTTCTAGCATATGCCGGTGTAGTTTCAGAAGAGCCTATATCAGTGAGAAATGAAGATGCTACATTAAAAGCATTCTTGCTAGCCTCGGATGTAAGCTAATTTGTCACAGCAAGTGACAAACTATGCTTTTGTGTCAGTCTCGCGACCCAGATTTACAGTCTTTTGGTTTTCCTCCATTCCTCTTTCCTCCTTCCCCATCTTTTCAGGGACTTTTTATTTAATGCTATTGAAACAATGCCATGTGTCAGGAAGAAAGCAGATTGGGCGATGAGGTGGATAACAGACAGAGAAGCCACTTTTGGTAGGTGTGCCTCCCTTGTATGTGTTCTCCGTGGAGTGAGAGTGCGGGGAGCAGCTGTGGATCAGAATGGGGTTCACCAGGCTTTGGGGCATTCTGATGAATCAGTATTCTAGCAGTAATCGAGTAGATTGCAGGAACCCAGTCACATGCTCAGTGAAAAAGGGGTAAGGGTGTTGTCAAAGCCCTGCCCCTTTTCTACATGCAGCAACATCACATGCAAATACAAAAGAGGTGGAGCTTTGTGTGGTCAGGGCCATCATCTTGACTTTTGGGATTTCTCCCAGTCTTCTCTGATTGGAAGAAAAAGGAGAGACTGAAGCATATTAATAATTATGGGCTGGATTTATATGACACCCATTGAACCACAGACTATTTTTTAGTTCTAGTGCATTATATGAAACCTGGCCTCTCTGATTAGTTCATAGTTCAGTGTGTCATGTGAACCCATGAAATTGGGTTAATTGAATAAACAGTAGTTCAATTAATCATTGGTAAGTGTGTTGTGGGAACAGAGATTTAGTTTCTCCCTTTGCAGTCCTTGTTTGAAAAGTCTTAATAACATAATAACTGGAAGGATCTTTCTGTTCTGTAATCTGCAAAGTTGGCGAGGTTCAGTAGGTGAGAAGCCAGTTTGTTCAACTACACACACATGCACGCGCACACACACACACACATATTCAAAATCAATTCAGGGAGTCAAATAATTAAGTCCACAATCAATAGATGGCTTCTCACTTACTGAACCTGGCCGTATACTGTATATATAGATGGTTCCTCTAAGCATATGAGTATTTCTTATGCCAGGAGGAGCAAATATAATCCAAAATCATACATTTAGAGATAGACAATAAGCTTTGTAAGTCAGGGCATTTTTACTTCCATCCCAAATTGATGAAACCTGCTAACGTTCATTCATTTTTTTTAAATGCTCTTTACTCTGAAATTTGGAGGGCAACCAATTTTCTTTAAGTTAAAGTGTTATTTGTACTTATGGGATGCTCATAGGTATGACAGTAAAATAAACCTTTGCCATTCCAGTAGAGTCTACATTTACATATATTTCTTTAATCTTCTCTACATCCTAAAAGTTGATATCAGCCTCTTAAGTATATGCAGATTCCAGAAGTCTCTGTATTAAAGCTATCCCTTTGGATAAATCAAGCAATTAACAGGTTTTCTAAAATATCTCTTTGGAATTAACAGGGCAAACCAAATGAGACAATGTCCAGAGTATTCCATACAAGATACAGTAGATGCTGTTTCCTTGTTATTGAGATTGTACCTTAATTAACATTTGGAAGAGTTGTGGCAGAGGTAATATTCAGCAGGTTCTGACCAGTTCTGGAGAACTGGTAGCGGAAATTTTGAATAGTTTGGAGAACCGGCAAATACCACCTCTTGACTGGCCCCGCCCCCATTTATTCTCTGCCTCCCGAGTCCCAGCTGATCAGCTGGGTCTTTTGTTGCCCTGCACGGAAGAATGGGGCTGGAAAGCAGGTTAGTGGGGTGGGGAGGGAATGGGATTTTGCAGTAACCTTCTCCTGCCACGCTCACAAGCCATGCCATGCCCACCAGTCCATGCCTACAGAACCAGTATTAAAAAATTGGAATCCCACCACTGGGTTGTGAGTTTTGTCAGTATTTCCCACCTTCTGTGCTCCAGATGCATTTACCTCACACCCTGGCTGAGTAAAATAGGAGAAAACTGTTTTATTCTTTTCTTCAATTTGAAGAAGTTCATTAATTGTCTGATAACTTAAAATTTTTTGATTTTCTTGAAACAGGTGAAAGAGTGGTTGCGTTTGCTGCTGTAGAAGGCATCTTCTTTTCTGGTGCTTTTGCAGCCATATTTTGGCTCAAGAAGAGAGGGTTAATGCCAGGCCTTACTTTCTCCAACGAACTTATTAGCAGAGATGAAGTAAGGTGTGGGGGAAAAATATATAAATAAGGTTAAATATGATGCTCTCAGAGAAGCAGTATTACTTGTCTTATTTGTGAAGTGTTGCACAGTCTACAGATGTAATTTATTATGGCTGGTTGCACAGTCACCCGATGTTTAGACTGGATTTGGCACTTTTATCCACCTAGCAAGTACTTCCCAGGGTCCTGGGATAAGCAGATGCTTTTAATGGTGTTAGAGTATGGTTGTAGGATGTAAGCTGTTCCAAGTAAAACTGCCTTTTGCAATTAACTGATGGGGATTATTACTGTTTTGAAAATGATGATGATTCATACATCATTAAAATCTGAAATAAAATCCACAGAATGCAGTTTAACAAGAATATTGTTAATGCTACCATTTTTTAAATACAGCAATATATTTAACAAAACACATTTGTTTTCTCAAACACATTTCCTAATTCTACCAATATTTCTGGGAGTTGGGTATTTTCCCAGTCCACAACCATACTACTTTTGTAGTTATAACTTGTGAATGTTATAAACTGTATTTGCAAGGAATAGGGGTATGCAACGCAAGTTTCTGAATTAAGCAAGAGATATCTGGAGTCTTCTTAAATATAGACAAAATTAATGCATATGTTAAATTTTAAAACACATTTGAAATAGTTGCTGTTAACATACATTGTTAATGGATTACCGTGTTTCTCCAACAATACTGCCTCCACCAATAGGAAGTCCCACCATGTTTTATTGGCATAAAATCAAATTAAGCCCCCCCCCAAATTAAGGCCCATATTAAACATGCGAAATAGAGGGGGAATGGCGGGGGGGGCTTGCCGTTAGGAAGTACTTTTGTTGCATGCCCGGATATGGTGCTGCCTGCGTTGGTGGGGCACTTCATATTGGGAGGCCTTCCGCCACCATTGCTTTCCCTTCTCCCTTGCTGCCGCTGCGTTTAGAGCAACGCCACGGCATTTGGCGCAGCCATGCGCGGCCAGCCAAAGCTCCTCCCTGCAACCGGAGTCCTGCAGAGACACTTGGCTTCAGGCGCTCCTGTTGCCGCCTTCCCTTTGCCTTCGAAGGTAAAGCCAATTCTTTTAAAAAGGACACCCTACTACAACAAGAGGGCAACCCAACCCCACATGGGGAGGCGAATCTCCCGGGGCTGCAGCGCAGGATTGGCTCACCCCGGGAGAAGCACCCAGCTGCCATCCCTGCCTGGCACCGGGCAGAGCGCGAAGAGCTTTGCCTGGGGCGCCTAGCACAGCTGACAGGTGGGCCCTCCTTCCTGATGGCAGAGCTCTCACCAAGGCAGCGAGCGCCTCCCCGCCGGGCCCTCCGCTCATCCCACCAGGGCCACGCCAGAGCCGTGTGGGCTGGGCAGAGCTGGGAAAGCGAGCCGCAGGTGCGCGCCCGCCTGCCAAGCTAAAGAGCCGGGCAGACCCAAGCTTGGCTTCCTTCCCAAGTCCCTCCAGCCCGAACCCGAAGGGGCCACCGGGAGAGGCCGCCCGAGGCAGTGATAGCACCCATCCATCCGTGGACAGGGAGGCAAGGCGACGTCCTCCTCTGAGCTGAGTCAGTGCCTCTGCCTGATGCCTGTTCCGCTGCAGCGTTTGGAGCTGCTGGCGCATTTGGAGATGCGTGGGGATGGGGACGGGCTGGGCGAGGGGTGGAAAGGATGGGGGGGCTTCGGGCTCTCTCCGACGGCCAGGGAAGCAGTGCTGCCATCACCTCGCCTCCCTGTCCATGGACGGGAGGGCGCTATCACTGCCTCGGGCAGCCTCTCCCGGTGGCGCCTTTGGGTTCGTGCTGGAGGACTTGGGAAGGAAACCAAGCTCAGGTCAGCCCGGCGCTTTTGCTTGGCAGGTGGGCGCGCACCTGTGGCTCGCTTTCCTGGCTCTGCCCAGCCTGCACAGCTCTGGCGTGGCCCTGGTGGGATGAGCAGAGTGTCTGGCGGGGAGGCGCTCGCTGCCTTGGTGAGAGACCTGCTGCTGGGAAGGAGGGCCCGCCTGTCAGCTGTGCTGGGCGCCCCAGGCGAAGCTCTTTGTGCTGTGCCTGGCGCCAGGCAGGGATGGCGGCTAGGCACTTCTCCTGAGGTGGGCTGATCCTGCGCTGCAGCCCCGGGAGATTCGCCTCCCCATGTAGGATTGGGCTGCCCTCTCAGGCAGGCGAGACTTTGTTGTAGTAGGGTGTCGTTTTAAAAGAATTGGCTTTACCTTCGAAGGCAAAGGGAAGGCGACTACAGGAGCGCCTGAAGCCAAGTGTCTCTGCAGGGGTCTGGTTGCAGGGAGGAGCCCTGACTGGCCACACGTGGCTGCGCCAAACGCTGCGGCGTTGCTCTAACGCTGCAGCCGCAAGGGAGAAGGGAAAGCAATGGTGGTGGAAGGTCTCCCGATACAAAGTGCCCCACCAACGCCGAGGTCAACATCCAAGCTGTCACCGCCTGCCCACCTGAGGATGTAAGGGGGGCGAATTAAGTCACTCCCGAAAAGATGGCCTAGCCGTTTTTTCGGGGATCAAAAAAAAATAAGGCCCAGCCTTATTTGGTGAGAAACACGGTATATTAACTTTTCAAAAAAACGCAAAGGCTTAAAGTAGTTCTTACATTTAAAAAATTGTCTTCTGCTTTTTTTTAAAAAAAGATCAATTTCTTATGTTTCTGTCCTATTTATTTCTTTAAGGGGCTCCACTGTGACTTTGCTTGCCTGATTTTTCAGTATTTAGTGAATAAACCTTTGGAGGAAAGGGTGAAAGAGATCATTGTCAATGCAGTTGAAATTGAAAAGGTGAGGAGATTTTGCCTGGATGTAGTTGTGATGAACCTCAAAATAATGTAGGCTGTGTTTATAAGACCATTTGGCCTACTATGATGAACTTGAGGGACTCAGTTGTAATTTTCTGAATTTTCATAATATGCACCTTAATATGGCCATCTGAATTGGGTTAACAAATCCTGTAGGTTAAAATGTGGTGGGTTAGTTGTGATTTAGTGGGTTAGGCAAACAACCACCCTACCCAAGGTTTATATTCTTGTGATTTGCTGCTGTGATTGCTCAAGAATGCATTGCATGGAAGGACAGGTCACTTACTTGCTGAATGTGGTACAATTGGCTGAGCTCACACAATATTCTAAACCATAAGCATGGTTTACAAACCACAATTAAATTGTTTAATAATTAAGGTAAGTAATTACTGTTCCTAAGATGGGGGAGATTTCTCTCTCCCCCCGCCTCCCTCTCCCAACAAAGCTCTAGGAGCAGCTCTAAAGCTCTCTAAAAGCTGCAGTAAATTCAAATTTGTAATATGTTTAGGTTTCAGGGGAGAGTCCCTGCTGAAAAACTTCAAAATGCTCCCCCCCAAAATTGGGGCTTTGTGAAATTGGAACCCAGATCTCACTGGTCCTTGTTCAACATGAACTACTACATTGCATGGACTCACACTTCCAGAATTATTATGGTGTAAGAGCTTCTATTTCATGTTATATATGTGAATCAAACTGGGTAAACGGTCCAGGAAAATTCTCTGAAATCATTTCATTTTTTTTTCTACTATTGCAGGAGTTCTTGACAGAGGCCTTACCTGTGGGATTGATTGGAATGAATTGTACTCTGATGAAACAGTATATTGAATTTGTGGCTGATAGGCTGCTCCTGGAACTGGGTTTCCCTAAGGTGAAGTAATTTACCTTAAAGTATACACATATTTATGTATTTGAAGAGATTGAGAATTTTCATGTCTTGTTTAAAAAATGCAAATGGATAGGGAAATGTGATAGAACAGGTGAAAAAAGATGTGAATATACCGGTAGAGAACAAAGTGGAAAGATCTGTCAATCTTTACAGAACTGAGGGCTTTTAGAAAACTTGAAATGTCTTGGCTTTCTCCTGGTTATCCTTATCAGTCAAAGAGGAAGAAACCAAAGCGGGCGGGGGAATGGAAATACTCCATAGCAATCACCAAAGAACGATGTGTCCTTGCAGTGCCTCATTCAGTTCCTGTGTTTTATTAATATCTTTGGTGTTCCCAGGTCTTTCAAGCAGAAAACCCTTTTGACTTCATGGAGAACATTTCCCTGGAAGGAAAAACCAATTTCTTTGAGAGGAGGGTTTCAGAATATCAACATTTTGCAGTTATGTCCCAAGCAAATAATAAGATATTTACTTTAGATGCTGATTTTTGATGCTGCCTACTTGGGAGATTGACAAAGCCACACTACACATTCACCCTCAATGATGACAAGAAACATCTTACAAGCTAAGTAGGGTATTCTTGGAATGTTTTATTAACTATTAATAGTTGATAGAAAAATTTCTACCGTGTTTCTCCAACAATACAACCTCCCCCAATAGGAAGACCCAGCATGTTTTCTAGGCATAAAATGAAATTTAGGCCTATTTTAAAACATGCAAAATGGGGGGAAGGGTGGCGGGACTTGCCATTAGGAGCGCCCCGTGGGCAGCAATTCCTCGCCACCAGCTGCTCCTAATGGGCAATCATGGCAGAGCGCAGAGAGCTCCCTACTCCTGCCAAGCACCTTTGTGGCAGACCCAAGACCTTCAGCGTCCGCCGATGTTGATTTGCCTTCTGCCCATGCCGTCGCTGCGTTTGGAGCTGCCACTTCCACGTTTGGAGCACCACTGCTGTTTGGAGCACCGCTGCTGTTTGGAGCTGCCGCCTCTGCATTTGGAGCTGCCGCTTCCACATTTGGAGCGCTGCCACTGTTTGGAGCACTGCTGCTGTTTGGAGCTGCCACTTCTGCATTTGGAGCTGCCACCGCGTTTGGAGCTGCTGCTTCCGCGTTTGGAACCCCATTGCTGTTTGGAGCACTGCCGCTGTTTGGAGTTGCCATGTCCGCATTTGGAACTGCCGCTGCGTTTGGAGCTGCCGCTTCCGCGTTTGGAGCACTGCCGCTGTTTGGAGCGCCGCCGCCACTCCAAACACAGCGGCACCTCCAAATGCGAAAGTGGCAGCTCCAAACATGATGGTGGTGCTCCAAATGGCAGCGGCACTCCAAACACGGAAGTGGCAGCTCCAAATGTGGCGGCAGTGCTCCAAATGGCGACAGCACTCCAAATGGCAGCAGCACTCCAAACACGGAAGCGGCAGCTCCAAACGTGGCGGCGGAATGGGCAGAAGGGAAAGCAACAGTGGCGGGTGCCAAAGGTCTTGGGTCTGTAGCAAAGGTGTTTGGTGGGAGTAGGGAGCTCTCTGCGCTTCACCATGATCACCCGTTAGGAGCGGCTGGTGGCGAGGCTCCCCGTGGGGCACTCTAGATGAGGATGCAAGGGGGGGAATTAAGTCAGCCCCGAAAAGACAGCCTAGCCTTTTTTTCGGGGCTCAAAAAAATATAAGACCCGGCCTTATTTTATGAGAAACACGGTACAAATAGGTTACAAGTCGTGTGCATATATACACGACATATATACTCTTAACAACAATTCATTCTGTAATATCATACAACTTTTCTAAAACTATATTGTAGCATTTAGGACGAAGTTCAGCTGCTGATGCTTTTGATAAAACCCAATCCCATCATTAAGAGTGAAAAGCTTTTATGAGGGTAATGATTACGCTATATAACATTCTTTCTTACCTCAGTTCTTGAACTGAACTAAGATGAAAGACATACTTATTTTTCTTAAAGGAATGTTCCAGCATAAAGTCTTGGATAGGAGACCATCAGGTATAGAAATTGACTCGGTGGAGACTGTTTTTATGCAAAAGAAAACTGTATTTGGGAAAATGAAGACGATGACACGGGCACTTTATAATCTTTTATCGTTCATTGTGGTTAGTCAAATCAGTACAATGTCTGAAATAATGTGTTTTGGAAGGATTTTTCATTTGGCCTCAAAACTTCATTTTGGCCATAAACTTGACTGCAGCAACCCACCTAAGATAGAACTTGATCACCTTACATAAAAGTCTGGCTTATTCAGCACGATGAACCAACATAGCTTGTCCTTGTTATGCAAATATAGCTGTTTTCTCAACAAATCAGTGCTTAAAGTAATGTGTGAATAGTATCTGTGTTTATATGATATACTGATATACTGATATATACTGATCCAAAAGCTATCCAGGGCATTTTAAGCTATTGCCTTAACCCAGACTTTATAATTTGTTTTTGGTATGTCATGCAAACTTAGAAATTAGGGATAATTTAATAATTTATGCATAATGATATCATATGAACTTAGCTTCAATGTATGAAGTGGGATAAGATTTAAGCTACTTTATTTAGTATGTGAGCAATGAAGAACAGATAACTTGGCAACAAAAGCATATATTTAAAAAGAGAAAAACAGTATAGAGGTAATTGACAAAACTGAAGCTTCCTTTGTGAAATATCACAGCTAATGTTTATGTGGGAAAGCCAGTTTTGTTAAGGTTTCTGTATGGGCATCCAGTAAAGGGGCCTGAGTAAGGCAGAGGCAGAGATAATTTAACAATGCTCATGATCTGGGTGTTACCCTAAAAGAGGACCTGAACTGGGGTGCCCACATTGTAGCCCTGGTCAAAAGGGCTCAGCAGAGATTATACTACCTGAGGCTTCTCAGAAAACAACAACTGAATGAAAAACTGCTGGTGACCTTCTACCGCTGCACCATAGGGAGTACCTTAACTTACTGCACCTCTGTATGGTTTGCGAGTTGCACAGTGGCAGATAGGACAGCACTCCAGAGAGTTAACATCATTGCCCAGAAGATCATTGGCTGCCCTCTCCCCTCTTTGGAAGAGCTTTATAGCTCCTGCTGCCTTAAGAAAGTTCAAAACATTCTCAACGATCCATCTCATCCTGGGAACCCTTTTTTTGAACTATTACCATCTGGCAGACGGTACAGAATAATAAAAACAAGGACAAATAGGCTGAAAAACAGCTTCTATCCCAGGGCAGTAGCTCTTTTGAATTCTACTGTATAGGGCAGTGTTGGTGTGGTGTCGGGGGTTTTCGGTTCAATGTGTGGAGGGTGAAGGATGTGTGTTTGTGTTTATTTTCATGGTCATGGTCATGATGTGCACTGAAGATGGTGTTTGATTTCGTTGTACAAGGTATAATGACAATAAAATAAACTAACTATATCATTGTTTTTTTTCTTCTGGAAGTTTGCATTAGTAACTTCTAAATATCTTGTACTTCAACTCCCATAATCTTTGGGTTATGAAACAGTTTTATTCATAATTGTTCCAATCCAAATAGAAGCACAATTTAAGGATCAAATATATCACAGGGATGAAATAAATCACACCCTAATATTGCCAGGAATTGATGAGGGTTTGACACATTGTGCTAAACCATTGTAAGGTTTGTGATGTGTGATCAGATTGTGGGGTACAGATTAAAAGTCTAGTGTCTTATCTGAAACTGAAGTAGTTGCAAAATTGCTTTTTCAGGAACTGTAATATGAAAATGAAATTTAGAAAGTCAGTGACTGATGAACTCAGCAAGTTTTACCTTAGAGTAAATATGTATGTAATTGTACTAGTTTGATGTTTATAAAGCTTTCTGTTTTGGTGCATCAAATTTCTGATCCGCTTCAAGGAAATAAATGAGATATTTTGTTGGATGTATTTTGAAGCTTTTTCAAATAGTCCTGTTTCATGTATAAGACTCTGATTTAGTCATTTTATTAATGACTTAAAACTTGTATACAGTCTTGTAAAATCTTTTTAATTGAGTGTATTTTTTTTCACCAGTAAAGTGTCATAAATACATGACATACATGACATTAGAATGGACAATGTAAAGAATGCTTTTTTTAAAAAAACCTGAGTTTGTCACTCATACGTTTTGGAAAAAAATACAAAATAATTTAAATAAAAATTGTGAGAACAAATTATGATTTTCCTTGTGTGAGTTTTCTGTTTGGACCCTTTGAGGATAACACGCCACAATTTACACAAAACTCTTAACCAGACTGGCCTCTGACGATCAGCTGAGAGGAGGAAAAAAAGGACAATCAGCTGAGAGGAGAAAGAAAAAGAAAGCGCAGGATCAGCCCTCCCAACCGCCCCTGCGCTTTTCTCTTCTTTATCTTCTCAGCTAATTGGCGCTGCAGGCCTCAACTGGTGTGGGGAAAGCGCGAGTGCGATCACCAAACCAGTAGTGGAACAGGTAGATCCCACTGCTGCTATTAACCCTGAAATAGAAATTAGCCAATCTTTTTTTTTTTTTGCCAAGCAACCAGGTTAATTCAGCAAGCATGCTAAAGTTCGCACAGTGTTCTAAACACAGTCTAATTATGCTGCCTGAATTTAACTAGCTTGAAGCCAAAAATATAGTTGGTTAGTTCCTGCAGTATAAGTGTTAAAAACAGTGCAGGGTCAAATATAGGGATAGTACATTGGTGAATTCACTCAAACGTCAATAAACAACCTTTCAAGTGAGGTCACAAATTGTCTGATTGAGAGTTTGACAGGAAAACTTATTAGTGATTTTCTAGAAGCTATCTGGTTGAACATTGCAGGGAATGTTAATTCCAGAAAGCAGAAGTTGTGATAGCGAAGTCCTAAAAGATGGCGGGTTGTGGGATAGGACCCAGAGCACACCTGTCCTACCAATTCTTACCGGTTTGGTAGAAATGGTTGGAGATAGATGTCTGAGAGGGAGCCAAGAACCCCAAAGGGGTACCTGGAAACTGATGTAACCAATGTAGTTCGTGAAGTAGCACTACTCCATTTTCTTTGGTACAGATCTGATCTCAAAACTCTTATTAAATTTAAAAAGTTTAGGAACTTGAAAGGCAAGAGAAATAAAACTATGTAACATTCTCACTGGAATGGGTAGGTGGTCTTCCAACATGTGTTTTAAAGTTACTAGTTACCTTTCTACGGTCAGGACAGATTCAGATTGCTGGCACGGCTATGTAGAAAGTTAGTTTGTAGGGTGGCTGGAAGTTGACAGTATTTCGTGGGATGTATCAAGGACTTGTTTTAACAATTGACTAAACATATTACAATGAAGACAATTTGGCATAGACATCTAAATCTGCAGACCCTCATAATGTGTAAAAAGATGTGATTCTTTTTCCTACTAGGTTAGGAGGCAGTAGTGCTAAAAGTAAAAAGAGAAACCATTGCAAATAAAATAGGTTAAATACTGTAGGGCAGTGGTAGCTAATCTTTGGGCTCCTGTGCCAAAAATTGTGTGTGCCCTTGCGTGCGCGCACCCAGAAGGCAATGCCTCCCCTTATGTCCCCTGTGCATGTGCGTGCAATACCCCCCCCCCCACTGCCTCCTTACCTGCACTGCACCTCCCAGCTGATTTTCGGCCTCCCAGAGGCTTGATGAAAGCCTCTGCAGGCCGAAAAATAGGTCCGTTTGTCACTTCCAGTATTTCCAGAAATACAGGAAGTGATGAAATGGTCCTATTTTTCGGGCTGCAGAGGCTTTCCCCAAACAGTCTGCCTCAAACAGTCTGAAAATCAGCTGTGAGGTACGCGCATACACAGTGAGGTAAGTTTGCCTGTGGCTCATGTGCCAGCACAAATGGCTCTGCGTGCCACCTGTGGCACACATGTCAGGTTTGCCATCACAGCTGTAGGAGCTTCAGCTTCACTAGATCATTCCTAGTTTTGCTTGTTCCTAGCTAGCCCTTTAGAACAGGGTTTCCCAATCTTGGCAACTTTTTAAGATGTGTGTGGATTTCAATTCTAAGAATCTTTAGCCAGCAGGCTGACTGAGGAATTATGAGAGTTGAAGTTCAGACATCTTAAAATTGCAGAGATTGAGAAATACTCTTGAAGGCAGCCAAAGGAACACATAATTTCTACACAATGTGCAACAGCACACAGATAACATTCTCCAAACCTTGATTCTGAATTTGACTAAAACACGAATGTCCAGAGGTTAAATCAACAAGCTTGGTTTTAGCAGATTGGATATTTTGGTACTACCCAGTAGGTGGCAATACAGTAAAGCCTATCACATATTTGCTTTTTTATAAGAGTGAAAGGCCCTATGCGGCAACCGAACAAATCTCACACTTTTGTGGCAATTTTGTGTTTCTTATTTTGGGCAGCTTTTACCTTTAGATCATTTTCTATGATCTTGTCTTTTATCCAGAGATTTAATAAATCAGACCTGAACACTTCTGCCTCCTCCAGTTAGAAGAGCCTGGCAATCAGCCTTCTCACTAAAGGCGCAGCTGGTGCAGGGAAAAATGTCATTAAATTTTAGTTTCTCCACTAGAGATTGAAGCAAGGTTTAGAATAACTGTCTGATTTCCCTTTGAAAAGTTGACTTGGGTTGAAATAGAAACCTGTTCCCAACAGGTTCTAGTCTTTTAAAAGAAAGAACATGCTCCCAAAAATATTTCAGAATAATTTCTCTTTCTTTTGAAAATTCAGAGTGGCTGTGGAATTAGATACCTTTCCTGCAGCTGTACCTTTTTATGGTCTGCACAGAAGCAGCTACCATTTCCTTTTCTTACATTTTGGCTCCTAATTCTTCCATTCCCCCCCCCTAGTTAGACAGAGCTTGAATTGTGTTCCTCCCAAATGTTTCCCAAAAGTCTTGGAAAGATTTCAAGTTTCAGATTGCTCTTGTTTTATGGAGCTATTGTACTGTTATATAATACAGTGTAATGACCTTGCTAGAGAAGTTTGTGTTCTTCTCTGGGACAGCAACTTCTGAACTACACCCTAAAGAATCAGGACTCTTAAAAGCCATTACTCTGAGCCAGAGGTGGTATTCAGCAGGTTCTGACCAGTTCTAGAGAACCGGTAGTGGAAAGGTTGAGTAGTTCGGAGAACGAGCAAATACCACCTCTGACTGGCCCCGCCCCCATCTATTCCCTGCCTCCTGAGTCCCAACTGATTGGCTGGGTCTTCTTTGGTTGCCCTGCCCAGGAGAACAGAGCTGGAAAGGAGGTTAGTGGGGTGGGGAGGGAATGGGGTTTTGCAGTAACCTTCCCCTGCCACGCCCACCAAGCCACACCCACAGAACCAGCAGTAAAAATGTTTGAATCCCACCACTGCTCTAAGCTCAGATCTTCGGGTAACCTAGGAGCTCTTACTTAGTTCAGAGGATGAAATGAAGAGGACCAATTAGCCACAGAAAGTAAAGGGAAGATGAAAATTTAGACCCACTGGAGAAGTGGTAGAGATACAGATCTTCTGATGACCTACAGTGAGATAGGAACCTCTTCAGTGGAGGGGTTGTCTTGACTGTATGCAGCTGGGACCTAGATGTGGTTCTGGAGTCTCTGGCTTCAAACCCTTCAGTTTTTAGCAGTCAGTGATGGATTATAATTTGCACTTGGTTTTGTTTTAGATCATGGCTATTTGATTCCTGGGATCAGAGCTGTTTTTTTTTCTCTTTTTGTTAACACTTTTTTGAGCATCCTTGGCTTGTCTTTGACCACATTTCTAGTTGATCATGTACACTGAATATGCACAGCGGTTCAGTAAAAATATATTGATTAAATTGTGAATCAGTGTTTTTGGAGTTTGTCATTCAAAACTAGAAAATTGGGTTGAGTAGCCATAAGTAAGCATGCCATGTTGACTTAGTTATAGGATAGCTGTAGGAATTTACATGGATGGAGTAGATTAGGGTCCCACAGAATTTGGAAAGGACTGTTGTTTTCAAGGTTATAGATTGCCAGTTTTTAAAATGCAGACTTACACTTCTAAAGAATGCACAACATACTATTTCTATACCTATTCCCCTCTTCTCAGCATATAAATTTGAGTCCACTGGAAAAGCAAATTTGATTTATAGGGAATGACTGGATCTGATTTTTCTACATTTTTTTTGCGATAGTCAAGCAAACATCAGTCACTAAGAAAATCAATTTTCCCCAATGAGCATTGTTTACCATGGCAAAGGCATTGCAAATTGCAGTCACGTGACCATGGATGCTGCAAACAGCCGAAAAGGGGAGCTGATGTGTGGCCACCATAACTTTGAAAATGGGTTGTAAATAGCTTTTGAAGATGTGGGGCGGTGTCTGTCATAATTTTGAAAGGTTGTTAAGCTACCAATCATAAATTGGGGACGAGTTGTGTTGCAACTACCCTGTCCTGTTTAGGCTGAGAAGCTAAGTAGGCTTGGTCATCACTTGGATGAAAGACCAATCTGTAATTAATTATTATTTTCCAGGACTGCATAACTAGGCAATCTTGTGTTCCTGGGGGTGGGGGAGAAACCACATTGTTTTTATGAGCCAAGACTGATTGCTGCCACTCAGCTGTAGCCTTTCCACAGGAAGAAAATAATATTGAGGTATTTAAAACACTTCTGAAATATTCCAGATATCGATGCCCTTTCTTCTGGAAGTGATTTGTGCATCTTTAATGAATTGGAAAGAACGGTTTGTACACCATGCTGCACTAAAGGAAAAACACATCTAAATGCAAAGTAGGTGTTTCTGCAAATGGTATGTCTTATGATGTTTCTTTTTGGAATCCAGATGCAAATTAAAATGTCTCCTAGCTTTTTCAATCATGTTGGATCTGTCTCCTTATACATGAAAACTAAATATGTACTGTATATACTAAAACTTTTTTGTATTAGCATATACACGCTTACTAATTAAAGCATTGTATCCTGCCCATCTTTCAAATGCCTAATTTGTCCTATTGGCCCAGGGCAATAGACATGGCAACTTTTTTTGGGGGGGGACAAACCTTATTGGTTTCTTGGAGTCACTTCTTGGTGAATGGGCTGTAAGCTCCAAAGTCTTGCTCATTTCTTGTTTGGATTACTGCAACATGCTCTGCATGGGGCTATCCTTGAAGAGAATGCAGAACCTATAACTGCTAAAGAACACAGTGATATGGACAGTTCTGGAAGCTCGGAGGGTGGCACATGTAACACTCCCATTGCGCAAGTTGATTGCAAACTTGATTGCAGGAAATACGACTTCAGCAACAGAGTGGTCAATATCTGGAACACTCTACCTGACTCGGTGATTTCTTCCCCAAACCCCAAAAACTTTAACCTTAGACTGTCTACTATTGACCTCACCCCTTTCCTAGGAGGTCTGTAGGGGGCATGCATAAGTGTACCAACATGCCCACAGTCCCTGTCCTATTGTTTCTTTTTATTTTTCTTATATGTATCCATTTCATGTACTCAAAACTATGTCTATATTTATACCTGTAATCTTATAATCGCTTGAATAGATAGATAGATAGATAGATAGATAGATAGATAGATAGATAGATGATAGATAGATGATAGATAGATGGATGGATGATAGATGGATGGATGGATAGATAGATAAGATAGATAGATAGATAGATAGATAGATAGATAGATAGATAGATAGATAGATAGATAGATAGATAAGATAGATAGATAGATAGATAAAGTTGTAATGGCTACCAGCTTGTATTGATTACTACCTTTAAAGCTCTTTATGATATGAGTCCAGGATTAGGGTTTGCATTAATCAAGACAAATCACTTGCAGATTTTATTACCTTCTTTCCAAGTGCAAGTATTATAGCAGAATTTGCAAATTACAGAGGATTGAGGTTGGAGGGCAAAGGCAGAGTTTAAATTCAGCACCTAAATGATGGGTGGGTGAGAAAGGTTGACAAATTTACTCCCCCCCCCCAATTTTTTGAACCACTTCAGTTCTGATAAATTGTAGTTTTGTATCAATCAGAATAGAGCTGGAAGGGACCTTGGAGGTCTTCTAGTCCAGTCCCCTGCTCAAGCAGGAGGCCCTAAACCATTTCAGTCAACTGACTGTCCAGTCTCTTCTTAAAAACCTCCAGTGAACGCAAACTGTTCTACCTGGGTAATCGATGTCTGGGAAGCTTTAAAAATAATTCATTTTTCTGAATTTTTATGAAAGTCTGCTTAAAAATGAGAAGTACCTTTACATATACACATTCTCTCTAGTGCATTTTTTTTTACTAATATTCCTGTTTTGAATATAGCTTTACTGATGTATTTTTCCTGCACCGTAGAGCAGGGGTCTCCAACCTTGGCAACTTTAAGTCTAGTGGACTTCAATTCCCAGAATTCCCCAGCCAGCCAGGTTGGAGACCCTGCCATAGAGTATCTACGTTCATATAGAAACCTATCTACTCCACTCTGAGCTGAAGGAAGTTCCAGCAGCCAGTCTTTCATTTCAATAACTGAAAGTGAGAGGGATGTTCTTTGTAACTTGGGTCAGCTCTACATATCTCTCATAGGATGGCTCTTTAACCAGCTGATTATTTCATGAACTTATATCAATAAGATTGTTGGCAAAGGCATGCAATGACATATTGAAGATTAGCTGACATAAACAGGGGAGAACAGGCCAAGGGTATTACCTAGTTGGCTTAGTCGTTCAGTCATTTGGTCTTGCAATCTGGAGTCTGTACTAATAAATCATACTGTTTTGAGAAGAAGCAGCCTGATCAGCAAGAGGAATATCTAACAAACATCACATTGCTGTCTTCCCCAGATTTAAGACTGTGGGGTGTGTGTTATTTTTGGCAGGTGAAAGGGAGAAAAGACTTTTAGAGATATTTATATATAATTCTTGATCTTATAAGCTTGTTACAGTTGTTATCAACTCTAAGCAGCATACTTTCCAAACATCTATAAATATGATTTTAAAAATAACAACCAGACCACAGCAAATTACAAGCACCCACATTGCACCAACGAACAATTAGAATTGCATTCAACATCATCAAAAAAAGACCAGTGTCATACCACATCCATCCTGAACGCCAGTGTCGGGATAACAATCAGAATCATTCATGAAGACTCTCAACAATAGTTGTACTGATGTACAAGATGACTAGGTGGAGCCCAAGGTTGGGGTCAATTGTATCATCAATTTGAAATCATTACATTATCACAAGAGACTTAATCCTGTCCCCCTGTGAATTCCATTGACCTTTAGCGCCAATTTGACTTGACTGTTGGTAAATCAGATTACTGTCTATAGGTAGCATGAAATAATTTTTTTAGTGCTTTGAACTCTACTCCTGTTCCTGGTTTCTTGCACCTGGTAATTGCTAGTCAATTATGTTACAAGAATCTCATCAGACTGACTGCATCTCCTTGGGAATTGACAACATAAGTGTCATGCCCCAAACGTATAACTTTTATATACTGTTTTGCTCTCTAGCCCCATCAAGTGGCCAGAGAGACAAACACCAATTATTTTGTTTGAAGCTAATTCAATCCCTTTACCCATCAGCCCTCATTCTCAAAACAAGTTCACGTTGGGAAGACAGACTCCATTTTCCTTTAGCATTTGGAGGAGGCAGAAGCACAAATAAGAATTCATCTTAGTTTGTGGCACATGTTCATCCAAGGACAAACCCACATGCCACACACAGAGCATTGCTGGTGAGATTTAGATTACTTGTATTTATCAATTGTTATATTCAGCAGTAACTCAATACTGCCTGTATTTGGTTCTCATTGTATGTATTCCTATTTTCCCCAATTTTACCATATCCTGTTCTTTCAATAAAACATCCACATCTATGCACACGGTCTGTTTTATTGGAGGATAGGTGGGTTTAGCTGCATGTTGAGCTGCACACAGAGCAACATGTAGTGACAACATAATAATAAGGCTTCAAGGATTCTGGAGGAGTCCTGCACTGTGCCAGTGCAAAGACTCTAAATTCAGCCTCCTTTTGACTCTTCCCTCCTGTGCAGTTGGAGATTCCACCACAGCCAATTGAAACTGCTGGCTTTTGAGTTTATTTGCCTCCATCTCAATGGAATGGGTGCTAATTAAGTGCAATTCCAAAGAAAAAAGGCAGCAAATTAGAAGTGGTTGAAATATATGGATTTGTCTATGTTGCAGTCCCTGATTTGTGCTATTTTATGCAAATATTTCATTTGCTTCAAAATATGATGAAATGGTCTGTTAAACAGCAATTCAGTGACTGATTCTTACATATGTTGTGCTTGATAATAGACTACCACATTCCTAATTTATTTTCTTGACTCTGTAATAAGACAAATTGGATCAGTTCAACTCAGACATTGATAAAAAATTTTATGCACTGGAAAATGTTCATAAGATACGCCATTGTTAGTTACTGGCTTGGCTTATCTGCCAGCAGCTTCTTTGTGGAGTGAAAACAAATGAATTAAGAAACAACTAAATTAAGTGCAGTGAAATGCATCATTTTGAAATGAGTGCTATACACAATTATATCTATTTGAATTGTTCAGCCGACAATAAATCCCAGGCTCAGTTCCTGCATTTATGTCACTGTAATTTTGTTATTTGCATTAGTTGTTATGGCATTTTATCTGCTTATTGGAGAATTTTGAAGGCAGTATAAACAACTAAGGTTAGCTTTAACCTGAAGAGGAAAGTGAAATACCTACAGTCTTTTGGCGCCTTTTTATAATATTCTTAAGAGATGGAAAATATAAATACTTATTCCTGAAGATGATTTGGTAGCGCGTCTTATCAATATTTGGTTATAATTTGAGAGAGAGGGCTCAGGGATATTTTTAGGTAAGACAGGATCTGTAATAGATATCACCTGAAGATTGTCTGATGACATCTGTGGTCAGTAATCTAGGAATTCAAAACACTGACCCTCTGCCAAAAATAATACATTTTTTTTTTCTAGCAGACAACATCTGGAGAAGGTTAGATGTTATAACTGGGCAATAACTTAGGAACTTAGATATGTGTTGCTAAGAATATTTTTATGGGAAACATTGCTCCTTTCCCTTTAGCAGATACTACACTCGGGAGATTGTGTTGTTTTTATCTTGTTACAAGTAGACGATGCAACGTAAAATCAATCAATCAATCAATCAGAATAGAGCTGGAAGGGACCTCCTGAAGTATAGCAGGAGACCGAATACCATTTCAGATGATGGCTGCCCAAGTCTTTTCTTAAAATCCTCCAGTGATGAAGCACCCACAACTTCTTGAAGGCAAGCTGCTCCACCCGTTAATTGTCCTCACTGTTTGGAAGTTTCTCCTTAATTCCAGGTTGCTTTTTTCCTTGATTAATTTCCATCCATTGTTTCTTGTCTTACCTTCTGGTACTTTGGAAAATAAGTTCACCGCCTCTTCTTCGGGCAGCCCCTCAAATACTGGAATATTGCTATCAGGCCCTCCCTAGTCCTTCTTTTCTCTAGACTGGCCAAACCCAATTCCTGCAACTGTTCATATGTTTTTGTCTCCAGGCCTTAAATCATCTAGTTGCTCTTCTTTGCACTTTTTCCAAAATCTCAACATCTTTGTTGTGATGTGGTACCCCAAACTGGATGCAGTATTCCAGGGGTGGTCTTAGTAAGGCTTTATAAAGCGGTTGTAATACTTCATGTGATTTTAATTCTTTGCCGCTATTTATACAACCAAGGATTGTGTCAGCATTTATGGCTGCTGCTGCACGCTGCTGGCTCATATTTAAGTGATCGTCCGCTAGGATTCCACGGTCCACCTCACAGTTACTTCTTTTGAGCCAGGTTTCACCCAATCTGTATTTGTACCTTTGTTTTTTTCTGCCCAGGTGTAAAACCTTACTTTTCTCCACATTCAATTTCATTTTGCTGGATCGGGCCCATTGTTTAAGTCTGTCAAGATTGTTTTGGACCCTGAGTTTGTCTTCTGGGTTGTTGGCTATTCCTGCAAGGATGGTGTCATCTGCCAATTTGATGAGTTCCCCTTCCATTCCCTCATCTATGGCTTGACATCTTGCTTTTGCTCCATTCTAAGAGAATGTTTGCAACTAAATGAGGTCAGCTGTTAATCAGCACCAAAGTTATTAAAAGGGACAGTGGCATTTTCAAACTTTCACGAATGCATTGGCGGAAGTTACAGTTGTTATATTTCCACAGTAATCGTAGAAGTGCATAAAGCATTTTGTTGCTTGCATAGATTTGTACCCCCACAACTTGTGAGTTTTCTTCAGTCCAAATCAATACAGAATTTTCTACAGCACTTCAACCCACACATTATTCAGATTTACACTTTTGACACTGGAGACAAGATGATATGGTATGTAATTCATTGCTATCAGCCACCAGCATGGCAAGTGTGCTTACATAAGTCTAGGCATCACGCAGAAGCACTTCTTTGCTAAAACAGTTGCTTGACTTTGTTAATTCCAACTCTGCTCCCCCACAAACATACAGCACACTATAAATATCCTCGACTTGCAAGCATTTGTTTAGTGACTGTTCAAAATTACAACGGCACTGAAAAAGGTGACTTACAACCGATCCTCGCACTTATTGTAGTTGCAGCATCCCTAGAGTCGCGTGATCAGATTTGAAGTGCTCACTAACCAATATATATTTACAAAGTTTGCAGCATCCTAGAGGCCATATGATCACCATTTGTGACTTTTCCAGCCAGCTTCTGGTCAGCAATATCAATGGGGAACTCCAGATCTGCTTAACAACCATGTGATTTAACAACTGCAGTGATTCACTTAACTGTGGAGAAAAAAGGTTATAAAATCAGGTGTGACTCACTTAACAACCTCCTGGCGAAGCTGTAGAAATTCTGGCTGTAGAAATTCTGAGAAGGACCAGGGGAGACAGGATAGCAGTCTTCCGATATTTGAGGAGCTGACACAGAGGGGAAAGGGTCAAGCTATTTTCTAGAGCACTTTTCTAGGCCAAACAGGGAATAATGGATGGAAATCGATCAAGGAGAGATTTAACTTGGAAATAAGGATAAACTTTCTGACAGTGAGAACAATCAACCAATGGAACATCTTGCCTTCAGAAGTTGAGGGAGCTTCATCACTGAGGCTTTCAAGAAGAGATTGGACTGCCATCTGTCAGAAATGGTGTAGGGTCTCCTGCTTGGGCAAGGGGTTGGACTAGATCAGTAGTCGCCAACTGGTGGGCCGCGGCCCATTGGTGGACCGTGAGAAAATTTTGGTGGGGTGCAGAGAAATCTCACCCCCAGAGCACCCCCCCCAAAGCAATTAATCCAGGCTGCACAGAAACACAAGGCTGCGCAGCCCACATGGCCCCCAGGAACCCTCCCCACCTACTCATTCCTTACCCGGCAAACTTGCCTGCTAAATTGCTATTTTTCCTTTTTCCAACCATCATCTGTTCTGCTGTGCCAGGAGATTTAGATTAGCTAGGGAGCAGGAAATGGTTGGATTTCTTGCTTTCTAGCTAGTCTTTAGGTCTTCGGCTCAGCACAGCCGACCTCCCTTAGGACTGAAGGTTTGTTTGCAAGCAAATTCAGTGCAGACTCATGGCAAGCAAATTTGAGAGACTGAGCTAGCCGATGGCAAATAGATAGATCACTGAATGAATCTGTGATTCTGTGAGCAACTCAACCTGTCTGCCTGCTTTGCCTGATTTTGGGTAAAAGTTGCTCTTTTTTTAAAAAAAAATAAAAAATACACCATGTATGTATGTATCTAAATATTGTGTTGTGAGTTAATTTTGTGAGTTTGCTTGCTAGCAAATTGTATGAGTTGTTAAGTTAGTGACAGGGTTGTGAAGTG